TCTAGGCCTGGTAAATTCTAGGCCAGGGGCTCTACCATGAGCTACATTCCTACTCCTTAGTTTTTTAACACTTAATGAAAATACAATTTATGATGTCCATTATAAAGTAAAATCTAATTTAAAAAATTCTGTAAAATCTAGTAGGTCTAATAATTACTGTTAAATATTTTCCAGACTGGATTAGAGCTACCTATAGCAAGTAGTAAAGGCAGCCACCAGAATTCTGTATCTTCTTCACAGGTCTCACTGCTATCACTAAGGTAAGTGGAAGGTTAATAAAATCTTGCTATAAAAGTTGTAAGATGGCAACAGAAGTACAGGTATAGAAAGTATTATTTCTGTGATTACAGCCAAATTTGTGAAATCTTACACAACCAGGGTTTTATCAGACTTTATTTTGCTAAAAAGGAAGCTTGGTTTTCTCCTGCAACTCAACATTACCAGAATTGTCTTTAGGGATGCTTAATCAATGCTCTGATGCACTGCTGGCAAAATAAAATGATCCTGATTTTAGAATTTTGTTTCCTATATTCAGCAGCTACTTGAGATTTTATGGAAAACACCAGAACAGTGCTTAAGTATTAAAGTGTTTCTATGTAAATATGTTAAGTAAATTTTCCATACTTTCATAATGTATTTTAAAAACATTTGAATTGTGTGCCTAGTAATTTTCGAAATGATCCTACGATTTTATCCCTGCCACATACCTCACTTTCCTCTTCAGCTTAAATTACATAAACTATTTTAATTACCTTCCAAACTTTTAATTATTAATTACTCTTGCAAACTTAGTAACTCTAAGAAGCTACTAAGTTGAAAATATTTTCTCATAGGAACTTTGAAGTATTTATTAAAACTGTTTCTATTTCCTTTTTTAAAATTACTTTTGGATATTTATTAATGGTTATACTTTTATTTTATTCTTTTGGCGGAACCAGGGTTGAACTCAGGCCCTTGTGCTTGCCAGGGAAGCACTTATTCTACTGAGTAATCTCCCCGGCCCCAGGTCATACTTTTAAGCGTTAGTAATATATACATTTTTCTTTTACTAAATTATGGTATCTTTTTTCAATGAGGGGGTCTTTTGAAGTATAAATTTGCATTAAATTTGTAATTTTTTTTTCTTTTCCCTTAGGTCTTCTAGGAGTAGCGTAAATACTTCTGCTTCTCAGGCTTCTGTTAAAGTACTGGAGCTCAACCTCCCAGACTCTTCACCAGTAGGCAGTAGTTCTAGGTCAATCAGTGCTAGCAGTTCAACTACTTTGAAAAGCAACAAGAATGGCAAATAAACATTACATTTTTGAACAAGTTTTAAACACAAAAACAAATATCTCCTACTTAATTGTAAGTTCCATCTGATTTTTGAGCTCCATATAATGATATAAAGAAGCCTACTAGAAATATAAGATGACCAAAGGTTTTATCCAGTAGAAAATGAGAAAATGTAAAAGCTGTTGTTTTTAAGGTAATTTTCTTAGTTTCCTACAATTTTATTCTCAGAGAAGGAAAATAATAACAGGTTTTTTTTATGAGGCTATAAGGTATACAAGCATGGGGACAAATAGTGCTTTTCATTCCAATTTTGATGTTTGTGGTGTTAAAATATACTACATACTGCTAAGGTAACAGAATCTTAGGAAGAAATTTCTGAAGATTCATTGCATATCACAGTAAGAAAATTTACATTTATTTTTATTAGATTCCCAAATTAGGTTTTTTAATTCAAAGAAATTTATTTTTCAGACTTTTAGGAAAAATAATCTGTTGAACATAGTTCCTTCTTTTGGTATAACTTGTAATTAAGACAGTTATTAACTTACACCCCTGAAGAAAATTGGTAAGAAAAATACAGTTTAAAAAAAAAGCAGCTTAAATTTCCAAGAATTATTCCACTCTGCCCTTTAAAAACTCAAACATATTAAAGATTTTGCTGTTAAAATAAGTCAACCAAGCATATTTTTGGAAATACCCTTAATAAATAATTTAAAGAAGCCAGCTATGATTTGCCAAAGAATTCTACAGACTTACACCCGAGGTACAACACCACACTTAAAGTTAGATTTTCCAGTTAATACTTAGTGCCCAGCACTTTGAACTTTTCAGTGCTACTGTGATTGTCTTAACCATTATCAACAAATTCCTTTGTTTCTCATTTCGTTTTAGAAATAGCTTAGAAAATATAGTATTTATATGCACAAATTAAGATGGGTAAAAAACTGGGTAATTTTTTTGTGTGTGAAACGAAGCATGAGACTTAGAAGATCTAAAAACTGATTATGTCATTTTGTTCAGCCAAGTTCTTACTCTCTGTTACTAATTTATAAATTACCTGGAACTCAAAACATTAAATGTATTCCTTGAAGTTGGGGGTTACATCTTATTTACTGGCTATACTTTTTTCACTTGTAGTATGGAAAGTAGCAATTATGTAAAGTTTCTTAAAACTTGGTAATATAAATGTACAGGGTTTGATACACAGTAACTGCACTACACCTACAACTTCCTGTTTACTAAGTTGCTATCTAGAGCCTAGCACAGTAGTTGTGGAATCATTAGGTTTTATGGCCAGCATACAAGAGTACATTTAACCCTTAAATAAACTAATAGTTCTAACTTTAGTATAATACTAACTGGCAAAACAGAGGAATAGTCCCTTTAATTCCAAATCCGATCTTAACACCCCAAAAGCCATTCTTCTAAGTTAAGGAATCCAAGACATAGACAGCCCAAGTATGTTCCAAACCAATGCTGAGAAAAACTACTGAAGACATCATTATGAACTTTTCACAATTTAATCTTTAATAGTACTTTTCTTTTCTTCCTGTGATGGGCTGTTAGAAACTGGTTGGGCTCTGCTTAAATCTGGTATATTTCAAGAGACTCTGGGAAAGAAGGAATTCTTAAATTCAATTAGCCTAAAAGATAAGGCACTATCTTAACACTGAGGTAAAATGGTATGTGTAAAGTTTGGAGCTGTGCTAGGGTTTTCTCAAGTGTCAAGGGGCTATGCAAGAGGTAGTTTTTGCTTTCTGAAAAGCTTGTTATGGCCAGGTTCAATGGCACACACCTGTAATCCCAGCTACTTGGGAGCTGAGGCAGAAAGATTGTCAAGTTTGAGGCCAACTTGAGCTACACTATCTCAACAACAAAAAATAGTTTGGGATGTGTAGCTCAATGGTAAAAGGCCCTGTCTAGAAATAATCCTCAGTACTTCAAAGCACAACAAAAACTCCATGATGTACAAGTGTGTAGGGATGACAGAACTATTAATACATACAACACTGAGTTTCTTCTTGCAAAGACTGTCAGTGCAGGAATGATTTAGCCTATTCCTATTGTCATTAGATATGTTCTTAACCAGGATTTCTTTTCCCTGTTCCACTGCAAAACAAATTTCAGATTTTTCCATTAGGCTCACACATCACTACAAACTGAAGGACACAAATGACATTAATAGTATTAAAGGTTTGGTATTTTACTGGTGGCAAGCTGACAGGTGGAATTGTCTCTTCCTTTATCATTCTTACTGGGACCTTTGTAGATGGATACCCACCTATGCTTCCACCTAAACCCATCCTCTGTTGCCTTGTGATCGGATTAAAATTTCATCACCATTTACAGCTTCTAGAATCTTACATTACGAAGATTCTAAAAAGCACCACAATCCCAACAATTAAATTATACTTCTTTCCCAGTAACTCCCAGATTACTATATTTAGTAATTTGGGGAAGATCTTTAAAATCCAAGACCCTTCCTTCTTTAGTTGTAGCTGCTGAAATTTATTCTGAGTAAAATTAAGCTATGGTTGGCCTAGTCTTTTATTCAGATCTTAAGAGGCAGTACTTGAAGTGAGATGCTAAGAATAAGGAAGAAAAGTAAAAAAACAGGCTAGTCCTAAGCTATTTAAAAATAGGCTTCACAATTTGTGAACAGAGCATTTGCAATACTAGGACAGTTCCCTATTTGTCTTTCCCCAGAGAAGTAACAGACTTACAGGGTGCTTCCCTACCACTGCTATTTCTGCTAAAAGGTTTCTATTCTGATCTACTCTTGACTAGAAACAGTCTCTAAGGGTCTTAACAGTGCTTAAGGTTAAATTTCTTATGGCTGTAATGCTAAAAGTAAAACAAAAAACAAAAAACAAAAAAACCCAATAATGGATAAACAAGCAAAACAGACTCTTAGTCAACTTTCCTGGTCTTATTTGAAAACTGTTAACTGAGTAAAAGCCATGGAGTGTTCACAGATCACTTTTAATTAAATTAGGCTTTTTGGAGGCCAATTAATAGATGTGATCTTCTATTTTAGAATAAAACCAAAAAAAATTAAACATGATGTAAAATAGTACTCAAGAGACATTCAAACATGCTCTTTCACAATCTGAGGGCTTTTAACAGAAAAGTTATTTTTGATGAAATGATTCAAGCATTTAATGCACAAATTTAACTTTCTGCCAAACATCAACATAGGATGGGCCCAGGAATTTGCATATACCATAATACAATGAAGCAATGTTTTCAGAGAATTACCTTTCATTTAGGTAAAGAAATTTAAATTGTCATAGTAAGAAATATACTGTACATACTCATGGAAAGCCCAAAATTCAATTTGTGACAAAGGGACCTACAACTGAAACAGATCAGATTAGCTTTCTATAAGCTCTACAATTTTAGCAGGGTTTCTGCATGAGATTGTTACAAATGAGATATACAATATTTACTAGTGCTTAGTATAAGAGTACAAATTTCCTTGACATATTAGTTTTTTGGCTTATTTCCTTTTTCTTTCTCAAATTCAGCTATCTGATTAAATATATTGAGTAAATTTTGAGGTAAATTTTTTTTAACTTTGCTTTCTGACTGCTCTTTGCTACTTAATCCATCATCTTCTGGAACCTGTGCTTTGTTATCTTCCCTAGAACTGTCCTCTCTTTCATAATCTCCTTGACTGACATTTAATCGGTACCTTTGCTCATGTCTACTGAAATCATGTGATCCAGGGTAAGTGTACTTCTTGTGTTTTTCCACTGACTTCCAATAGTCTGAACTGGCTGGTGAAGTGGAATGCCTCATGGAACCTGGCTCCCACCTTCTGTAATGTTCTCTTCTTCCCTCTATGTCTGTGTCAAATCTCCTATAACTGTACATTTTATCCTCTGAATTCCTACAGAAGGAATCTGAGCAATTTCTTCTAGTGGAAAAATGTCTTTCTGATTTATATGGCTTTTCTATTTTGCTACCACCTGCCTGGGTTTTATAGCTATTGTAAGAATCTTTTGGATCTTCAGACCTACCTCCAAAATCATCCGGTCTTTCAACTGAAGATGAAGAAAAAGGGCACCTAACTTTCTCTTTTACTTGTGTCTTTGGATATTGTAACTTATCTTGCTTTTCCAGTAGTTTTTCCACTTCTTGTTTTTGATTAAGAAAAGATGCTGAAGTATTAGCTGGAACTGGGTAGCACTCGTCTTTCCTATTCTGATCTACCTGATTTGAAGATGCCCTAGATGTATGCCTTTTGGAACTGCGAGAAGACTCTGAACGGGTCCTCTTATGTTTCTTATGCCTTTTGTGATCAGAAGAGGAAGATGAGGAGGATGAGGAAGAAGAAACAGACTCATCATCAGATGAAACACTTGAAGAGGAAGATGATGATTTTCTTTTTTTCTTCTTTAACCTAAAAAATATAGTTAACTCATCAGGTATGTGAAATATGAAAATGTTACTAATGTTTATAAAGATTCTGATACTATTTTGTTTTTTTTAAAGATTTGTTTTTATCCTGTTTTTTTTTTTTTTTTTTTTTTTTGTATGGGGAATTGAACTCAGGACCTTGTGCTTACCAGGCCAGGCTTAAAGATTTTGACCAAGCTCTAGCTCACATAACATACAAACGAAGTATGATGTAATGATTTCAGTTACAACAAAATCCAATTTTACCATCAAAATGATTTGTGGAAAAAATACTTGTGCTCGGGATGTCACTGTGAGCAAATTCATTATTTTTGAACAACACAGTGACACTTCTAGTGTTAAAAACTTAAGAGTAAATAAAGCCAAAAGGAAAATATTGAAGTTTTATATCTGGCCATTTAAGCTTCACTTAAATTTTCTGTTGGCACTCTTGTGCATGGCAGAATGTTTAACTGTATCTTGGACCTCTATCCACCAACTGTGACACCCAAAAATATCTCCAGACACTGCCAAATATTATGTAGGGAAAAACCACCCCAAGTAGAGCCAGTGCTCTACTTCTAAAACATCTCTAACATTCAGATAATTAAAATAACTTACTCTGTATTTTAATTCTAGGATTAATTTTATTTTCCAGAGTTCTACTGTTACTTTCCACTTTGGCTAGACTCTTTATAGAAAACCATATGGTACACATCCTTGGTGAGAATTCTTAACAGATATCACTTCAATTTTTTTTAACTTACTTTTTTTCCGTATGGCACTTTGGGTTCAACCCTGGTAGTTGCTTAAGTTAAAATACTGAAGATTATAGTTTACCTTTTCTCCTCTTTTAAGAGCTTACGCAATTTTTCTGCACTTGTTTCTATTTTCTTTGTTTTCTGCTTTTCTTCCTTTTCAGCTTGTTTTTCTCTTAATTCCAAAGATTTCTTTTAGAACCCAGATATCAGAGAAAACCACACGTTAAAAATAGAATATACAAAACCCGGTATTTAAGAGACCATCCCAAACCAGAAACCCAATTTAATATGCCCAAATCACCATAAAGCCATCATTAAGGAAGTATTTTGTAACATAAGAAGAAAATTATACAGATGTTTAGCATTAATCATTAAAATGGCCAGAACAGTATTGAGGACCATATTGCAGTTGGTATCCCATGAAAAGAGGGGAAGCCATTGCAGTAGTACCAATGACCCAGAGTGCAAAAAAAGATAAAAAATAAAACATGAAAAATTATTTTTAAAAATTGAGAAGATTAAAAAGGATGCAAAATTGACAAATAAAATTCAAATAATGACATTTCATTAAGGTGAATTGGGGGGGTTGAGGACACCATGTTCAAATACAAACCATTTTAAAAATAGCACAGCCCAGTTGGATGCATGATTACATAAGAAAGCATTTTCCAGTTTGTGGATGGGGATGAGCAGCACCAGATGTCACAGACACAGCAGCAACGGTCCAATTCAGAAGAGAATGCATGAGAAAACATCATCATCAGTATTACAGGAAGAAGCATATTCAATATCTCAAAAAGGTTTTCATAATTAGCTCAATTATAGTATCAACAGTGCTAACTTTACAGCTATAGTTCTAGGTAGGCACACTACAAAGTACAGTTCTCAAAACCACATACTGCATTTAGGAATTTTCCTGGAGTTATTTTTGAGTGCAAGCATTTAAAAAAGTGCAACACTATGAAATAATGTCAAACTTCATTCAGAAAACTATATTTAAAAAGAAATTTTCATAATGCTGCACTTAAGTCATCTAGAATATTGTTCCCTAGAAGAAAATTATATTTTGACATTATTTTTAACATTAAATTTCTAAGAGAAAATAAAGAATCACCTGCATATATTTATGTAGTTTCTGCAAAGCATCCTCTGCATCTTTAAAAGTCTCATCCAAAGCCAAAGCTTTCTTATAGTAACTTTCAGCATTTAAAAACTTCTCTTCTTCTTCTAACCTGAGTTTGAAAGGCAGATTTAGTGCTTTGTAAAAACAACAAAAGTATCCAAATGTATTTATAGGCCAGAGGATTACATGACGGAACTTTTACGGAAAAGCCATGATTAGCAAATTATTTACCAATACCTAAATCATATCCTTTGTACTGTAAATTATTTGGTAAAGCGATCACAAAGAATGAAAATCTGTTGCATGTAATGAAGTAATACTAGCATGCTTTGTAGAATTATAAGAAAACACATGATAAACTGCTACCTGCAAATTCAGTACAATCTTGCCTGCTAGCACAGAACTATATGGGCTGTCTTCTAGTAGTTCATTGGAATTTTTCCTTTCCACAGGCATTTTTAAATTTTGTTATTATTATTTTTGCAGTACTGGGAATTGAACTCAGAACCCTGTGCTTGCCAGGCAGGAACTTATTTTACTGAGCTGTCTCCCTGACCCTATTTTTTATTAAAAAAAAAAAAAAATCCATTCAAGTTCTTTTGAAATAAGCAGTGACGTATTACATAACCAGTTTGTAGATTTGAAGTTCATAAATCTATGCTGTAAAAAAGTAAAATTTTAAAAGTATAGACAGAGAATAGTAAAAAGGACTCTGCAAAATGCTATTAGTTTACAGAAAAAATTAGATCAGTTCTGTGTTGGCAGGAGGGATGAAGGGAGACAGGAACAATCTGAAGGTGGCTGAGAGTTCTGGCTGAGGGTGAATGCCCACTCCTGATCGTCAATACACAGGCACTAAGATAACTACATCTCAGCAGTCACTAGCTGTCCACCTTCTGAGAAAGTATGTCACTGGTCAGTCACTATTGAGAAGTCTATATAACTTGTTAATTTGGAATTTGTGATGATTCAAACTAGAATTATCATCCAAGCCAGAATTAAACTCATGAAACAAGAAAGAGATGATCTTTTTTTAAATAGCAGAATCATAGTAACGAAATGGGATCTTAGCTATTAAAGTAGGCTATTACTAAATTATTTATGTTTGAAGTATTACATTCCTTCAAAATAATCTAGAAATTACACTGGTCTATCAGTCAGTAAATATTTATGATACAACTACTCTGCCAAACATTTTTCAGTAACTATGTTTCAGTGATTCTGAACTGAGGGAGCTCCTGATTCTATTTCCTCACACAAAGTTTGAGCTTTTATAGCAGTTGCTTGAAAGAGACCGACTATTAACAAATCTGATACTTACTGCCCTCCTCTTTCTACGAGTGTTTGGCAGAGGTATTTTCGGGCATTCCTATGAGTTGGGCAGTTTTCTAATGCAAGTTCAAAATCTTCTATTGCTTTGTTCAAACTTCCTTTGGTTGCATATCTATAGACATTAAATGAGAGACATTTAATCCTGTGGGCTCTTTATCTTTTTCACATTTAATTGGCAAACACTTTTAAAATCCATAATTCACTTACAATGCTCCACGAGCTACCAAAGCTTCCACATTTTGCTTGTCTATTTCCAGAGCTTTATTGTATTCATTCATAGCATCCACATGGCGTCCAACCTTAAAATAATCAACTCCGACCTTCACACTTTAAAAAAATAAGTGTTAGTACAATATATTTTAAAAGCAAAGGTCTTCAAATCTGGCAAACATTTAGTTTTCAAAAATACTTTCAATACCTAAGCAGCACTCTGCCTTTAATATTTCCATAATGAATATTTATAAAACACAGATATCAGTATGGTTCTTTTTGAAAAAAACTGAAAATGCAGAATGAAATTTAGGTCTGTTACATTGACAACATAAGACCAATACAATACTTATCTAAAAAAGTTAATATGAAAAGAATCTTATTTCATGTATAAACAAATTTTGGTCTTAATGATAAACATAAAAATGCTAATTTATCCTAATTTGAGACTATCTAGATAAAGATTTTGTCAAAACAATCTTCATACCATTTTAAAGCCCAAGATGCAGACTGTTTCTTTCGTAATGCAGAAGCAAAATCATCCTCAGAGAAATTTTTGCTATTAAAGAAAATAAAGGTCAAACAATAAATACTTCTTAAATAACTACATTTCACTTTGCCTGACAGGCCCCCAAGACTAAGTAAATCCCAAGCAAGAGCTCTGTAATGCATTTATACAGCAAAAATCCTTAAACTGTCAAAAAGTGAGTATTATGAACAAAATGTATTTCTTAAGCATAAGACATGTGATATGGCCCAGGAGATGGGATCCCCCAGTTTATTCTCCTGCTAGGCTTAGGATGATCAGTATATTCTAAGCTATGCATTTCTTAGGTTAGCATCATTTTCCTACCACCTAAGATAATAACAGAAATGGACTATACCTTTGTAGGCCTCTCATTAAAGATGGTGGATTAGATTCATCTATTCCTAGCTTTTCTAGGAGAAATTCAACTACTCCTGGATTAACAAATCCCAAAGAACTCTGCATGATATTTTCATAGGATTCCAAAGAATTACTATTTAGTTCAACACTCCTCCTTGAAAAAAAAAAAAAAAAGGGACACAAAAATATAAAAGTGAGTAAATTATTAGTAGTATACATCATTTCTATTAAATAGCATTATTGTAAGAGGCTTATATACTAAAATCATTTTTGCACAGGTACATACTACATCATGGTAGGGTTTCTTCTACCAAGTCTGAAGTAATTTAAGGTTTATAAAAATAAAATGACATTTTACCACAACAGAAACTCAAATTCCGTGTGTGAGAAGTTTCACAAAATGTTATTTTAATCCAAGAAACTTGTAATGAACTGCTGCTGAAAGTTTGGATAAATACCTGTAGTACAACGGAAGCTCTTCAGAAGTAATGACACCTAGTTTAGTATTAGATAGGTGTGGTGGAAGAGATGAGCTATACAGAGACACCGCAAGCTTTTCATGGTACCTGTCAATATCCTTGATTCCAGCTTAAAATACAAAAAAGAAGAGAAAGAGAACTAAGCTAAGAGGAAAATGTACACTAACCTAAAAATGCATAAACATCTCCTAACACTACCCCCTCATTAGTCTACATTGTCAAAATTAATAAAAAAATTTCTGGGGCGGGGGCATTCTTTTGGACAGGATTTTGCGATTGTATTGTAGTCTAGGCTGGCCTTCGGCTCACTGTGTAACCCAGGCTAGCCTCCAACTTGCCATGATCCTCCTGCTGGGATTACAAATAAGTGCTGGGATTACAGGTGTGCACCACCACACTGACTTTTTAAAAAAATTTTTTTTAATTGTTTACTTTTCATTAGAATAAAACTGAGCACCTCGAATGATGTCACCAGTTTGGTAATATGACAAAGGATCTCCATGGTTACTATGAGAAGGCACATCTCTTAAGGGGCAAAGAGCCTGCAATGAGAAGCATTTGAAAACATCAGACATTTCATACTTCAGTGAGAGTATCTTCTTTTAACTGTTCAGTACTAATAATTGACATACTAAGAAACAGCAAAAACCTTATAGTCCATTTATTTTTCTTTTAATTAACACATAATTTATATACTTGTAGGGTGCAGTTAAATAATACATCTATAACATGTAATTATCACATCAAGATAATATGCATTTCCATCTTATTTCTTTGTGCTTGGATCCTTAGAATGCATCTCTGCTAGTTTTTATATCTGAGATCATCTTTTTAGCTACCACACATATGAATGACATGAGGTATTTCTAACTCATTTTACTTAACACAATGTCCTTTAGTTTCATTCGTTTTGCCAAAAATGATAGCACTTCACTTTTTTTCTTTTTTAAATTTTTTTATTT